TTGAAGTTCTCGTTCATACTGAACAGATAGTGTTGCAGTGAGTTTAATATACTTTGTTCACTTTCTTTCTGAATTGCTTTCGGTTTTCGGGTTGGACTTTGAAGAAGTTGTCTACTTATGTGATAAGATTAAATTAACATTATCCATTTCTCTTTCAGACTCTATCAAGCTGGAAAACTTATCTGGCTCGGTCAGCCTCTCTTAGATATCACAAAGAGACTGGCAAAATTCGTCGCAGAAGCTGAAACGAAAGTTATACAAAGTAAGTTATACTACTCTGTCAAGAAAGTACCGGGAAAAAGTCAATAATACACAAAATGTTTGTTATTCATCTAAATTTATTTTATCACCTTCAAAGTATGCTCCTTCAAAAACGATACACTTACGCCAACGAATAATCCAATCATCGAAACTTTTTTTAAACGCTGTTTCCGGAATTGAGTTCAGTGCTCGCCGCGAATTCTCCTTTATGTCTTCTAACGATTGAAAACGGGTGCCACGAAGGGGTAATTTGAGTGTGGGAAAAAGAAAGAAGTCGGCTGAAGCCATATCTGGTGAATATGGTGGCTGCTCGATGGTGTTTGTTGAGTGTTTGGACAAAAAATCGTTTACAATGATGGCCTTGTGCGAAGGCGCATTATCGTGATGCAAAATCCAAGAATTTGCTTTCCACATTTCTGGCCTTTTTCGTCGAATTTGTTCTCTTAAACGCCGCATAACGCTTAAATAATATTCTTTATTTACCGTTTGACCTTCGGGCAAGAATTCTGAGTGCACAACACCGCGATAGTCAAAGAAAACAGTCAACATGACTTTTTTTCAACATGGTTTTTTCGGTTTTGGTTCAGTTGGAAGGCGCCATTCCGAAGCTTGTTGACTAGTTTGCATGTCAAACTCATAAACCCACGTCTCGTCACCAGTAACAATGCGTTTCATGAATGTTGGGTCGGTATTGACTCGTTTTAGCATGTCCTCAGCGACTTTCATGCGATTTAGTTTTTGAAGAAAATTCAGGTCTTTTGGGACTAGCCGAGCGGCAACACGTTAAATACCCAAATTATTTGTTAAAATGGTACGGATCGACTCGTGAGATACAGAAAGTTCGGCGGCCATCTCTCTCAAACTTGAATGAAGATTTTCAGTCACTATTTCCTTCACTTTTGCGATGTTAACTTCAGTTGCAGACGTTGATGGCCTACCAGAACGAGGCAAATCTTCCATCACATCTCGACCGCTTTTGAACGCTTTGTACCACTCATAAGCACGTGTTTTTGATAAAGTCGATTCACCGTAAGCCTTCTGTAACATTTTAAGTGCCTCCGAACACGAAATTTCATTGGCGATGCAAAATTTAAGACAAACTGTTTGTTCGATGTTTTTGTCCATTATGAAATTCGCAATACACACTAGATATTATAAAACTAAAAACAGCACTGTTTTTAATATAAATAACAGATGCAACACAAATTCCGCGCCAAAATGGAAAACAGTTATGCCAATCTAACAACAACAAAAAAAAATAAAATTCGAATTTGGAACCATAAAAAAAACATTCATTCCCGATACTTTGTTGACTGAATGTACACATGGAAGCTGTGACCCATGTAGTGTTTTGCCCTGCCACGTACGTGGGTATGGTCATGAGCGAATGTTCACAGCAAATAATATATTTGAATACTTTGGAAGGCTTGACGTTCCAACCTGGTTGCAAAGGTCGTGTACTGAATTTTCTCGTTAATAACAGCTTAATTCTATGTTGTTAACATGAAACGCGAATGTAAAAGTTAGTTAATGTTCACATGGGAATTACATTTATTCTAATGGTGTTCTTGCAGAATACGCTTTGGAACTAAAAAGGAAATTAAGTGGGCGTCAGCAAGAGCTATCTTCTGAAGTAAATACCATCATAGACTATGCCGATATGTTGTATGATGATGAAGAAGGCAGAAAGCTCTTCAGTGTGCTCAAAGATTTTGAAGAATATCCTAATAGTATGTACTATGTACTATCGCATATTATTCGATTGGTGAAATCTTTTGATTCGGTTTTGATTTTGATTTCTTACGTATTTTAGCTACACAGCGGGGCTATACAGTATGTTTAGCATTGATAGAAAACTTCCTTAAGCCATATCGTCGACTCAGTAATACAGAGCTACGCCAACAATTGCTAGACTCTATTAACTTGGAGCTAAGAGCTATAATTCCTGAAGCAGACCGAGAGGGGAATGTTTTGAAATTTCTAGGCATTAGCGAAGGTACGTTAAAGTCACTGTTGTTCCCTCAAGCTATTAACAACTTGAATAATTACAAATTTTATAACCACCGTTACTTTCATAGAAATGCAACAAAGGCCGTCAGTGGAATCAGAGAGCGGTACATTCTCGTTTTCAAGGAAAATACAAAATAAATTGAGACAGAAACTACAAAAGCTGAAGTCGAAACCAAAGCATACATCGAACAAGAGAAAAAAAACAATAACCCAGCCAGATTACAGCAACGAAAATATTTTTAGACGTAGATTCAGTAATGCGCCGATTGCAAATATACAGAGACGGTTTAAAATTGTAACTCGGACACTTCCACATAGATCAACTGCATCTAGCTACACTTAATCAGTAGACCCGCCAAGGAGTTCACAACTAAACTAAATAAAGCTAACAATCAAAAGAACTAGTATTGTCTTGATTCTTAGCTTTTATTGCATCTTCACAAGCCTGTACGATTTCAAAGGCACTCTAAAATTACGTAATGGAAAGTTTTCACAATAGAAATGCAATTCAATTTCATAAAAACAAAACGCTATTCACAGTCAAATGAGGGACAGAATAATTCGCAAATATAGGATTTAATGAAGACAAGCAGAAAGAGTAGTGAGAGTTAAATATTTTGAAGCTTAAAGACGTAATAATAAAAAGCTAGTTTTAAAGTGGCCATGAAAAGATTGAAACAAAACCTAACGTTAGTAATAGAAAAGATGATAAATAAACTATTGTTGAAAAACTGTGTCCAGAGCTTGACAACATACTCGTATCAATATATTAACATTTTGTGGGCGGCGCCGATCACTTACCATCAAGTGATCTGTTTGCTCGTTTTCCTCCTATTCCATAAATAAACTATCCTTACACGATCATTACCGTCATCGTCATTATCTTCTTGCCCCACCACAAGTTACTCGGAGTTACCGCAATTAGACAAATTTTAACTGTAATGAGGCAGTTTGTAATAAATTAAAAACGTGTGTATTGTTTTAATTATTTTATTTCCTTTTCTATTAAGACTGCTATAATTACAATTATATTGTAAGTATGTGCATTGTGCATTGCTCGTTGAGCCGAAAGAAAAAGTAGCCGTGAAGTATCTTGCTCGTTCTTCTCCAGAGAAATCCATACGAAGAATATGACGCTTTTTATTTTTTTTATTTGCATGTTTTGTTTAACTTTCTAAACAACCTAATATACACAAGTCAATTTATAATATTAAAAGGACACTGAGAGATCATTTTTCTTTAAATTCCTGAGCTGTCACTGGCTTCTCTGATAGTCCATTTAACTATAGACATCGCTTGGTAGGGATACGTCTGAGTCTGTGAAAACAAAAGCATATTGTTTGATTAATAATAATAAAATGTCACCTTTAACACACCGAAATAGTCCATAGCTGGATGTCTACATAAAATCCAGTATCCGGCGGGTTGGAGATCGCTGTTTGAAACACGTCAGGTGTGTAGAAAGTGAAATTTCAAATGTGTTCCATTCTTTAGTCACAACAGCGCTTTTATCTGGAAATACTGATCAAATACCATTTTTACAAATAAACTAAAACTTCTGTTGAAAATTACCTGAGTTTTTACTGGAAATATTGTGATTATTATCTTCATTTAAAATCTGAGCATAAGATTTAAAAGCTTTTATCTTCTTATAATTTTCATTGCCTTGTGTGTTTTCAATAGCATTTTGTAAATTTTCCGTCATTCCGTCGATTTCATTTGTTGAAACATGACTATTTTCTTCAATCGTCGGCGTTTCATCAAAATCAATATAAAGCGATTTTTGATTTGTATGACCGTCTTCATCGATTTTACTTTCTTCCTGGTTTTCAAAAGATGTATCTAATAATATTTTTTTGTAATTTATTGGCGATTCGTCATATTCATCATATTTTACTTTCTCTTTAGAAGATTTAAAATATATTTTGTTTACCGCGAACGTATCATTGTTGACGACTGGTGTTATCATATCTTTCGCATAGTTTGATGAGCGTTTCAAAGATTCAATATTTTTGAGTCGAGAGGAGAAGTGTTTTATGACGTCATCAACAACTTCTTGGTTCTTGATTTTTCTCATTCTTTTGTTTGTGTTGCGATTGTGTAATTTTCGAAGATATTTTGATTTAGCTTTAGTTGCTGTGGAGGGTATTGGTGTAAATTAATAATATGATTTCACTCATTACAGAATCAAAATAAAATTAAAATTATCTTATCAATTTTGCAAGAGACAAAACGACAACACAAGTCTTGGTGTGCTGTGTATTTGAGAAAAATTGTGTGAACACACCCACGACACAAGAGACAATATAAAAATCGTGTATAAGTAAAGTGAATGCAAGTAAAGTGACGCGGTGGCTGGGCAACGTGCCTCTGGTTTCGTTCGCAAACATAACGACTGTTTGTGACATTCACAAATTTTTTTTCCAGGTCTGGGTGGCATGAGTATGTTTGTTAAAGCAGTCACGATACATATGTATAAGAGTCGTCGTGTGGGATAAATGTTTTCTTTTTTAAAGATTGTATTTTATTAAGACTTACTTTGAAAATTTGAAATATCTTCAAGAAAGTTTGTTCGCAAAGGGAATCTGATCTTTAAGGCATAGTTAATAGAGTCAAGAAGCGTTTGCCTGCGCTCAGAATAGCTGAGTCGTCTGTAGGGGCTCATAAAACTGTCGAATATAAATTCACAAAGCTGTTTTGCATTTTTCGTACCTGAAATGAATTACTGATTAATATGTGTCATAGCCTACGTTACGAAATGTCATGTCACGGCATGTCATGCTACCATTTGGGTATTCTTCGTATTCCATTATAGCATCGAAAAGTTGCCCTCCCTCATCATCCGTATACAGCAGATCAGCATAATCTATGATGGAGTTTACGTCCACTGCTACAGCAGTCTTCCTGACTTTCAACAACTGATATACCATTGATGAGTAGCCTGGGAAAATAAAGACCAGAATTCCAGGTTACCTCATTTCCGTGGTTGTGAGTAAAGAGTAATTAGTTACCGCAGCCTCGGTTCTAAGCAGGAGCTGGAACGGGGTGCTTGCAAATCCGTAAGAGTTTTTACTCCGACACTTGCCTCACCCAGAGCCGCGAGAGATATTCTCGAATTTCGTATCAACAAAGGCACTTTTTAAAGTCAAATCATTTTTTATCTAACTCAAAAGGCCACATTTAGGCTTAAAAACGATTCCATCATAGATACTTACTTCTTACATAATCAATCGGTGCTTCGCTTATAAACCGGGAAAGTTTTTGGATGACGTCAGCTAGGGGTTGGCCGAACCACATCAATTGATCGGTGTTATACCAACTGTAAAATTAATATGAAGTGAATATGGATGTACTGTGTGGTGTGGAAGAAAAAGAGTTTCGTAATTTAACAATATTTGATAGGGAAACTTAAGAAAGAAAAATGGCAGACTCAAAGACATGAAGCCAAAATGTTGACGATGTTGATGTAAAATGTGCAACTTTATATGGAATTGGAATGCAATGGGTACTAACGTATTTATATGTGGTTCTACTTCCAGTAAGACTTCTTTAACTAGTTTCTCATCTTTCAAGGAAGTAATTTTTAATATTTCCAATAGAAAGATTGTCAGATATCCTTCGTTTTGTTCCTCCATCATCTTGAAGTAGACTTGTCTTGGAGATGGGGTCAAATCGGTAGTGGTTTTGATTCCAATGCCTTTAAACATAGATAAAAAAACACATGATTTCTTTTGTCACACGATGAACTGGAACAGAAACTACAGGGCTTCGGGAACAAGGACCGACCGACTTTCTTCAGTTTTTGAAAATTTTCACTAGAACCACATTTCTGTCCTGAATGTGGCGTAGCGTCCAGAATGTGGTGCCTTTGTGTACTCTTCAATAGAATAAATGTTATGAAAGTTATCAACAATCAATCACAATTATCGAAAAATATATAATTTACTAAAACTTTACTTGACATGCGATACATACCTCCATACAATATTTCCCCTGCAGAGCCTGGTAATGCAGTAACTATAGTTGTGCTCGTTAAAGGGTCGTGCTCTGGTGTAGTTGTAAAAATCTCATAAAGTTCCGTCTCTGGTACAAGCCTTTACAAAAATAATTGCAACAACTGCATAAGAATTTACTGACTCTTATATTTGTTCAAAAACAAACACGGAAGGAGAACATCGCCAGGTAACTTAAACTTATTTTTTTTAAACGTAATTTTTTCGTAATGGTACGCAATAGGCATCGCCAAAGGACTCTGGAAGGAGTTACAAGTGATTTGCTTAAATAAGGCTTTTGGTAACCTCACTCTTGTTCAACGTGTGAGTGAAGCACAATGCAAGAATTGTTCCACGCAGGTTTCATGTAAGAATTCCATTCGTGCCGAAGCGTGGTTTTGCCACGTATAAAAAATATTAGATTGTGGTGTACCTCTCTGTTTGGCCTGTGGAGAAGGAAAATTCGTTGTCTGTTGCAGGTGGAGGATATCTGGGAGGAGACAAAGAACCTTCTCTGTGTATACGAGCGCCGGAATTCTTCATTAGATTCTGAACCCACAATTGCGCTTTTGATAAAGTGGTTTTTGGCTGTGACACTGTGAAATCCATAACATCATTAACTACGTCTGTGGTTATTTCGTAAGCCGAGTCGAAAGGGCTACTACTGAGCATAATATTATTAGTTGTTGGATATAACTCACTGAGAGCACGCAATTCGGAAAAGGGGCCTCTGAGGTTTAGTTACTTTTATCTCAATTTAAATAAAACGTTGGACCCCAACAGTACAATTTCACATACACATGACAACCAGACCCATCTAAGAATTGAAGGTTGTTTATAACTTACATGTAGTCAGCCCGGCCCAGGATGAAGTTCTGGCTGTCCATCTTTGAACGGGTATCCTCGGGGTCACTGGGCTAAATATGTTTATAAAATTATGGCTTTCTTTCGATTTTTGTACGTTCGTAGTGAAAGGAATATTTGTAGAAACTGTTGGTTCCATTGTAAAAGGTTTTTTAACAGTGTAAAGGTTATCGATATCAAGTGGCGAGTAAACATAAGGTGGATAAGCTTTAGCAGTGACTGTGGCATCAGTATGCAAGGGAAAAGTTGCAAAAAATGATTTTTTTGTGACACCAATATTGACCGCATGGAATTCTTTGTGATAATCGTAATCAGCGTCATTTTTAACCTTATGTGTCATGTTTACGAAGTTGGGTGGTGTTATAATTATATCAAAGGAATCGTTCCTTGTCGGTACAGGCTCCTGTGGCGCGGTTAATGCAGGGATGGTTTGGTAAAGTTGTGGAGGTTCATATGGATATCTAGGGAAGTATTTGCTGGTAGTGTACTCAGGTGTTGTCAAACTTGGCCAAGTAATCTCTTCTTCGTTTATTTCTTCTGGAGTCGGAACCGGCGCTACTGTTTCTGGTGTTGCTAAGAATGTAGATGTTTTATCTTCATGTGTCATCCCATCCAATTCAGTTTGTTCGCCCCAAAACAAATCTGTGACATCATAATTCAGAAAATCACCATCATCTGGTATTGGAGCGTTTTCATAATCTATTCTAGATTTGAGGATTATCCTTTGTTTGTTTATTTCTTTTTGGACTCCGTCGAGGAGGGTGTCGATTTGTTTTAGGGATTTGTGTACTTTCTTTGCTAGAAGTGTATCGTTTAAGAGTTCTGAAACAAAATTATGAACTATTTTTGATCAATTTGACCTTGGCAAAGTGTCCGTTTACCATCAGGCGGGCCGTAAGCTCTGTTGGGACAGTTAAATGATAAACGAATTTAAATGCTTACCCTTATGAATAGTTTGACAGACTAACAATTCGTAATTAAGAAACAAAGTAATCAATGATATTTTCATAGCGAATAGGCACTTTCAAGTCAATCATAAAATTAATAGAACTTCATATACAGACGTTCATATGTTTCTCATGAAGAATAGCTAGTTTGGAATTATGTCTTGAATGTTCTTTTTTTTTGTTTTGTTGAATCGCTGCGATATTGGCATTCGAATAGATTATACTTAAAACGATACACACGCTTGTTGTTATATTTATTACTTAGAAATGTTTTAATAATCTGCTGTTTCGAAACATTCAGTCTGGTAACAATTGGCGGTATTGTGAGTGTCTGTAGTTTAATAAACCCGTTACTATTTCGAAATAAGATTGGTTTCAAACTACGTACAGTTGATGATTGTTGGCTTGTTAAAAATCAGAAACTATTCTGTTCAGTGTCAATAAAAAAGTTGTAATAATTTTATTGGATTACAAATAAAATAGTTTATGTGAAAAATATAAAATGTATAACAAAATGTAAAATATTAGTATTTTTGTATTAAAATGACGGTGTGCGCTTGTGTTCTACTGTTCGCCGTTTTCGGTATTTATTTTCTCATTATTTCCATACAGTATTTTTCATTGACTTCCTTTTATATAATGGATTAAAATAATTGTTTACTGTCGCATATGAAGCACAAATAATATAATTTAGTAATTTTTATAACGCAGAGCTTTTAACTGCTACGTTCAAAATGCATGCGCTTGGCGTAAAGCTCGGACGTATTCTTTTTTTAATCTCATGTTAATGCACGTACCTGGAAATTAGAATGACATAGTTGCACGAATGTGTAATAAGTTATCGAAACAATTATTTTAATAATGTTATTATATTCATTTGTTAATTTATTAATGTCCGTAAGGATTGGGAACCACATCAGATATTTAAAATCTGATCTCACCATTGTTTAGCAGCAATGTAGCTTATTTTGCAGCACGAAGTCTAGCTTTAGCAGCAAAATATATCACTAGTTATTTTAATGCAAAAGTGGGTCCTCAACCTACACGTCTGAATTGAGGAGCCACCTGGAACTCGTTAAGTAATAGATAAATATTTATGAAACTTTGTATCATTCAGTAGCAAATTTGCATATTACCGTCAAAAAATGTAGCTTCTGTAGCGCTAAAATGAAAGAAAATACAATACTTTTAATATGGCTCCTCAATCTAAACTCAAGAGCTAAATTTCTATTGGATGTGAGCGATCAATTAATATATTCAACATATTGATCATTTAGCAGGTGTTGTGTTTGTTTTTGCAGATGCAAATTTTGTATGTATGTAATAATATATGCTTGACTGTAGATCCCTGTCCCTGTCCCTGTCCCTGTCCCTGTCCCTGTCCCTGTCCCTGTCCCTGTCCCTGTCCCTGTCCCTGTCCCTGTCCCTGTCCCTGTCCCTGTCCCTGTCCCTGTCCCTGTCCCTGTCCCTGTCCCTGTCCCTGTCCCTGTCCCTGTCCCTGTCCCTGTCCCTGTCCCTGTCCCTGTCCCTGTCCCTGTCCCTGTCCCTGTCCCTGTCCCTGTCCCTGTCCCTGTCGCTGTCCCTGTCCCTGTCCCTGTCCCTGTCCCTGTCCCTGTCCCTGTCCCTGTCCCTGTCCCTGTCCCTGTCCCTGTCGTGTTTGTTGACTAGTCGGTCTCGCTCCCATCAGTTGGCTGGACAATCTTCACGCTGTATTAATATTTTCTATAACTTCTTAAATGACTTTTCATTTGTTTTACAGCAAACTTAAGTAGAAGAGCGGCTCTGTCCTCACCTTTGAGCGAGAAGAGCGTCCATTTGGCTCTCGAAACTGTTCTAGAATTTAATGACAAAGATAAGGAATCAGATTTAAAGTTTCTTGACAACATACAGAACTTCGTAAATAAAGTAAAGTCTGCAATTGATAAAAGAGGAAGCCATGGAAGGGATTCCAAAGATGTACGCATCGAATCGCTCACTGAATTTGTTGAACAAGCTGTCAGTATATTAAATTTATATGATGACACGACTTTTATAGATTTTTTGGAAACTCTGGATGATGAAATTAGGAAGTACTATTATAGAGGTTGTAAGTTTCATGAATTGATGGACAATTATGAGCTTCGATCGTTAATTGGATCTACATTGGATTTGATTAAAGGAAAGCCAGTCAAAGTGATTAAGGCGTACATCAATGTGTTTGTTGATATGTTAAAAGGAGAAAATTACGACAGAAGTGCAAAAGAAATTGTAGATTATATCAATTCCTTGTACGGGCAAGACTCTAAACCGAAATTGATTAAAGTTTTACGAGACATAGATAACTATGGGAAACAGACTTCGGAAAAGAATCGGAATACTTTAGTCAGGATTATCAGAGAAGGCAGTCGATCTATAATATTTGATCATTACACACAATTAAACCCTAAAACTAGAAAAGAATTGAAAGCAAAGATAGAAGCGTACATGAAGAAAAACAAACGAACTTCATCTAAAATTGCAATACCAAACACTCGGGCGAACAAAACGCTTCTTTACGGCGTGTATAAGAAAGCAGCTGTGAAGCCATCTGATACGAAATTGGATGGGCCATCTGATACGAAAAGATGGACAGGGACAGGGACAGGGACAGGGACAGGGACAGGGACAGGGACAGGGACAGGGACAGGGACAGGGACAGGGACAGGGACAGGGACAGGGACAGGGACAGGGACAGGGACAGGGACAGGGACAGGGACAGGGACAGGGACAGGGACAGGGACAGGGACAGGGACAGGGACAGGGACAGGGACAGGGACAGGGACAGGGACAGGGACAGGGACAGGGACAGGGACAGGGACAGGGACAGGGACAGGGACAGGGACAGGGACAGGGACAGGGACAGGGACAGGGACAGGGACAGGGACAGGGACAGGGACAGGGACAGGGACAGGGACAGGGACAGGGACAGGGACAGGGACAGGGACAGGGACAGGGACAGGGACAGGGACAGGGACAGGGACAGGGACAGGGACAGGGACAGGGACAGGGACAGGGACAGGGACAGGGACAGGGACAGGGACAGGGACAGGGACAGGGACAGGGACAGGGACAGGGACAGGGACAGGGACAGGGACAGGGACAGGGACAGGGACAGGGACAGGGACAGGGACAGGGACAGGGACAGGGACAGGGACAGGGACAGGGACAGGGACAGGGACAGGGACAGGGACAGGGACAGGGACAGGGACAGGGACAGGGACAGGGACAGGGACAGGGACAGGGACAGGGACAGGGACAGGGACAGGGACAGGGACAGGGACAGGGACAGGGACAGGGACAGGGACAGGGACAGGGACAGGGACAGGGACAGGGACAGGGACAGGGACAGGGACAGGGACAGGGACAGGGACAGGGACAGGGACAGGGACAGGGACAGGGACAGGGACAGGGACAGGGACAGGGACAGGGACAGGGACAGGGACAGGGACAGGGACAGGGATCTACAGTCAAGCATATATTATTACATACATACAAAATTTGCATCTGCAAAAACAAACACAACACCTGCTAAATGATCAATATGTTGAATATATTAATTGATCGCTCACATCCAATAGAAATTTAGCTCTTGAGTTTAGATTGAGGAGCCATATTAAAAGTATTGTATTTTCTTTCATTTTAGCGCTACAGAAGCTACATTTTTTGACGGTAATATGCAAATTTGCTACTGAATGATACAAAGTTTCATAAATATTTATCTATTACTTAACGAGTTCCAGGTGGCTCCTCAATTCAGACGTGTAGGTTGAGGACCCACTTTTGCATTAAAATAACTAGTGATATATTTTGCTGCTAAAGCTAGACTTCGTGCTGCAAAATAAGCTACATTGCTGCTAAACAATGGTGAGATCAGATTTTAAATATCTGATGTGGTTCCCAATCCTTACGGACATTAATAAATTAACAAATGAATATAATAACATTATTAAAATAATTGTTTCGATAACTTATTACACATTCGTGCAACTATGTCATTCTAATTTCCAGGTACGTGCATTAACATGAGATTAAAAAAAGAATACGTCCGAGCTTTACGCCAAGCGCATGCATTTTGAACGTAGCAGTTAAAAGCTCTGCGTTATAAAAATTACTAAATTATATTATTTGTGCTTCATATGCGACAGTAAACAATTATTTTAATCCATTATATAAAAGGAAGTCAATGAAAAATACTGTATGGAAATAATGAGAAAATAAATACCGAAAACGGCGAACAGTAGAACACAAGCGCACACCGTCATTTTAATACAAAAATACTAATATTTTACATTTTGTTATACATTTTATATTTTTCACATAAACTATTTTATTTGTAATCCAATAAAATTATTACAACTTTTTTATTGACACTGAACAGAATAGTTTCTTATTTTTAACAAGCCAACAATCATCAACTGTACGTAGTTTGAAACCAATCTTATTTCGAAATAGTAACGGCTTTATTAAACTACAGACACTCACAATACCGCCAACTGTTACCAGACTTAAAGTGAATGTTTCGAATAGCGGAATTTTTAAATAATTCTTATAAAAAATACGATTAGCGAGTGGATCGTCTTAAGTTTATTCGAATAACATTATCATTGCGTTCCAACAAAACAAAAATAACATCCAAGACATAATTCCAAACTTTCTTCATGAGAAACATATGAACGTCTATATATGAAGTTCTATTTATTTTATGATTGAATTGAAAGTGCCTATTCACTATGAAAGTAATATTGATTACTTTGTTTCTTAATTATGAAATGTTCGTCTGTCAAATTATTCGTAAGGGTAAGCATTTAAATTCGTTTATCAGTTAACTGTTACAACAGAGCTTACGACCCGCCTGATTGTAAACGGACACTTTGTAAACGTGAAATTGATCAAAAATATTTCATAAGTATTTGAACTATGTTCCAGGACTCTTAAACAATACACTTCTGGCAAAGAAAGTACACAAATCCCTAAAACAAATCGACGCCCTCCTCGATGGAGTCCAAAAAGAAATTAACAAACAAAGGATAATCCTCAAATCTAG